ATACAGACTTCGGTTAACATGAGCCGAATACAAGAACATATTGACAAACGGCAGAAATCTGACGCAGGTTCTAGCCGACATGTGAAAACTGAGGTAAGAAGCACAACAACTGGAAAATGACGAAAAGCATGTTTTTCAAATATTGTAGTTTGAGTATTTTCCAAGTGCAGACGACGTGTTTTTCATGTTTGCTGTAGCTATATGACAACGTTTGATGAATATTAGCCAAACGCATTCAAAAAGCCTTTATGATATTTTCTGTCGTAATATCCGTATGACTTTGAGTCAAATTTAAAATTCTGTTTCACTGCATTCTTTTAGTCATAGCAATAGAAATAATGTCGCTAGGTTAGTTTTCTGTTAATATTTATAAAGAGCTATATACAAGTTCTTTGTTTATTTGCTTGAATCTTTCTTTTTGCTATGCGTGAGAAACTATAACGCTATAAAATCATCTATAAAAAGAAGGATTGACTCATGTTTTGCAATATGACTACCGTTCGTATCAAAGAATGCAAGTAACTATTTCTAGCACATACAATTACCTCAGTGAATTAAAGTTAAAACGAATTGTGTCAAAGAAATGTGAACCAGCAGAGAAGTGGGACCTCAACAAATATTCTTATCTTATCTGTAAAAAGGAAATTACCTGTAGGACATTCTTTGCATAAGTTCATGCAAAGCTTTTACTTACTTATGGTTTCAATTAATATATACTTTCTTTATCGTATGATTTGAGTAATATAAGATTATGAAACAGAGACTTTGTCGTGGTGACAAACTTAAAGATGGATTTCAAAATAGCAAATACCATGGTGAATGGTGATAATAACAATGTAATAGTTCTTAAAAGAACTGTTTTAACCAGAACACTAACCCAACAATTCAAAGGAACAGTTATTTACAGCTAGAAAGAGACACTATGCATTTCGGCAGACTACTCGTCAGGTGTCAACGTCTGCTAAATGAGAACCTCCAAACCATGCTATATTTATAACGTTACAAAAGGTCAATGTCCTCCCTATTTTTAGAGATGACACTTAAAACAGAGGCAGATTAAACACGTAATCCTTTTGTCGGCAAAGGACAGGATTAGTCAATTTAATTAATACCGACTCCATGACGCGTAGCTGGAATAACGAGCGACATTTTTAAATAATTCTAAAGTTTTCATCAGAATAAGCATTGGCACAGCGAGTGTTGCTCAAAAGATGTTTTCCAATCGCTGAATCACATAGAATCGGATTTTCACTTTTACACCCACGTTTTGGTAGTTGTCGTAAAGGAACAGTTTTATTCCTGACAGAAGCTGGTACATGTTGTTTTATTCTTTCACCCAACCTTTGAGAAGTCCTACCTACATAGCGAGCATCACACTCACATTTAAACTCGTAGACTACATTGCTTGATATTTGAGCAGGGAGAGACTCTTTGGGAGTGGGTGGAAGAATAGTTCTTTTTGAGAATATAAAGACCACATTGCATGCAAAAAACAAACTCTCGTTGATATTTTTAGTTTCCCTCTCGATGTCATTAGAGGCCTTACCCATCCAGGGAAGTTTAAGGAAAACAGGGCACTTGGCCGGTCCGAAAAGTTTATTCCGTTCATTGTTAGTGGATAAGAAAAGTTTGACTAGCAACTTTTCCGGATATCCATTTAACACAAAAATATTCTTCAGTGAGATAAGATCACTATCAATTAACTCTTTTGAGGACAAAGATTTCTTTAGTGAAGTGTTTGATAAAGCGAACGCATAGATTGTTGAAGTTGCTGAAGCATCTGGACCTAGAGGAACCTTTCATCGTGTGAGTGAAGAAAGTGGTAGTTACTTAGGTGCCAGTGCAGCAAGCAGTGGCGTAGCTAGCGGTCTGGCTGGTCGGGCCCAGCCCGACCAAATATTTTCCCAAAAATGAAAAATTTGTTTTCTTTAAAATTGGATTTGCGAAAATTTTAAATTCTGCGTCTCTTTTTGGAATAATCCACAGTCTATTAGTGTAATATTTGTCAAATTGCGTCGTTATTAGCAAAATTATCATATTTTTAAACGTTACTTAGCAACAATGACAAGTGCATTTCTAGTGCCAGGCATTACGCAGTTTAGTCGGGCTCTGAAAATTCAGCCCGACCAAGTAGTAAAATCTATAGTGGGATTATCTGCAATCTGATTGGTTGACAGCAACTGAGCAAACTCAAATGCGCTGTTTCGCAACATCTAGTCGGGCTCTGAAAATTCAGCCCGACCAAGTAATAAAATCTATAGTGGGAATATCTGTAATCTGATTGGTTGAGAGTAGCTGTGAACACACTCAAACCACAGAATAGATACATACAGAAGCGCCACTCGATGTCGGAACCTTTGATGTTCGTGTCCCCAGCATCCGGGCAACTTTACACGGCGGCCATGTTTCCAGCCAGATAAATGCAGCCAGATCGCAATGTAATTTATAGTGCCAAGGACAAGTTTTTAACCAAAAACTAAAATAGTTCGGCACATTGGCAGTTTTTTGCGCTTTTCGAGTAGAGACAGTAAATCGCAGCAAGTCTTTTATGTCTTATCAGTCAATTCGATATCGTAGTTGAAAAATAATTGTTTGTAGAAACATTCAAAGTAGAACTTGAATACGGACGACATGTCGTCTGTCCTGGCTGTTCACCAAAGTTCTAGAGGTAAAGGTCAGTTTATTTGTCTATGTTTTCTCTTGGACTGTGAATAAACCTGCTCTGCATTAAATTCTTCAATTTTGTTTAGTTTAAAGATGTTTGACTTTAATATATTTCCGACATTTCCTTTTGGTGGTGGTAAAGTCACGATTTGCAAATTTGATCGCGTAATAGATACGCATTCGGACAAAAAGCTTTAACAAATAATCATGTGGGAACTCTGTACATACATCAACTGGTGGAATTGCCTGGAAGACTTTTAATATATTTGCCCCAACGTTGGAATTTTTCGTTGTAGCAGAAAAGCAATTGACGTAAGTAACATCCAGTGTCTTTATGTATTCCAGGTATCTTCTAGCCGGGACATTCAACCCACCAAAATTCTTACTATCACATGCTTTGAAATAGCAGAAAAGCTGTTGATCACTGTCAAAATCATTTGATGTCAAAATTCTCTTGCATTCATCACAGCTGTGCCTCTTGAATGATTTTTTCAGCAAGTAGCCAGCAACATAAGCTACAGCGTTATCTTGAATGATGTTAGAAGTCACATTCTGTTCTCTATAATCTGCTGGTCCAATTGAAAGAATGCTTGGATGGGATTGTGGCATGTTGTCTACATGTTTTGGCTTTGATATATTTGCTGTTGTGCATTGAACCAAGTGGACATCCATATCTTTAGCACAGTTGCCTTTTGATGATGTAAGAAGCGCACTAAAAAACAATTTTCGAAATGCTCTTGTGAACTGTATTGGTGTGGGGTTGTCGCAATTCCCCCCTTGTTGTCGTATGCTTCCGAAAAAAATTTTCAAGTGGGTCTGTGTTCAGCCTTCTGGTAAGTAGGTAAGTAAAGTTGTGGGCGGTTTGCAATGTACTCCAGATGTTTATAATTGCACTAATTGTAACCAACCAACCTTTTAGAGATTTTATCCTGCCTGTCACATCCTCATTGCCATTGAAAACTTTAATTTTTTTAATAAATTGTAAGGATTCTTTCAAAAATGTGATGTGTGAACTCTTTGTTGTGATTGGTCTTCTCAACTCTTTCATTGCTTTTAGCTTGGAGCTATTTACAAAATCAAAGAGGGAATCAAACTTCAAGAGAAACTCTGCATTTCCACTGGCACAAGATGATAATCCTCCCAAGCTGACGTATGTGCAAATAGCTGCTGCAACGGTATGACTAAAAATCTGTGTAGCATATTTGACTTTCATTTTTTGGAAGTTAGTTGGATGGATGTGAATCAAACATAATTCTAATCATTTTTCACATACAATTGTTGGTCACAACTCACAAGTGAAGTTTAACCAAAGAGCTAAGCTGTAGGAGCTTGACAATATGCTTGACATAATGGCAAAGTTGTTAATTTAATTGTAACAATTTATCAATAACTTCATTCTTTAAAAAACTGTAATTTCATATATTGTTTATTAAAAATAAGACAACAAGAAATATCTTTATTTTTAAGTTAATACAAATTTGACAGACATGATAGCCACAGGAACTCAATATTCAATTACAAATAAAAACTTTCAATTACAATTATGCAGACAAGCTACATTGCAAATAAAAAGCCCCGATTCAAGAATCAAATATAAATTAGTTTAGTCCAAATTTTATACTAATAACGTCTTCACCTGAAGAACGTTCTTTACGCACAGTAGGTCGTTTTATCGCTTCTATCAAATCCGTTGACCATTCTAATAGGAAACTCTTTACTAGAAAATACAGAAATGGAATCATACTAAATATATTTATTACTTTTGTCCTAAATTATAAATTTTTAGGGCAACTGCCGTTCAATATAAGAGACGTTCTAAACATGGATCTCGCTTACAATTCAAGGCAAGAAACTATAAAACCCGTAAAATTATATTTGACGAACGTATTTTACAACAAAACTGTTTCTCACCTCATATGCTTGGTATCCTATCCGATGGCATTAAAAATTTTGTCCATAAGTGAATTTAAATTCGTCAAATTTTCGAAAAACAACTCTTCATAATATTAATCTATGTACATTCTGGCCAGTTTATCTGGCTGGAGTAATGGCGGACGCAAAAGATGCGCACTTAAGAACTGGGTACAAGTAGGGGACAGATTTTTCGCTGAGTGGCTCTTCTGTATATATCTATTCTGTGCTCAAACGTTTAACAACATCTAGTCGGGCTCATTTTCAAAAGCGTGACTGGAATTTTGAGCTTTCGAAATATACGTTCGGAAATCGTGATAACTTACATTACAATGGCTTCGGCTAATGAAATCGATATAATAAGTGAACTACAAAAGAAACGCTTTTCTGTTCGACAATCAGGCGAGCAAAATATACTGGTAAAGCAGCGGCCAATTCCAAATTTACAAGCGACTACAGGCAATAGAAGCTTTCAGGAAAGTTGGTACTCGAAGAAAGATTGGCTTTGTTGTAGCTCAGAAAAGAATGCATTGTTCTGTTGGCCTTGTCTTTTATTTTGCCCTGGATCGTCATCTTCATGGACGCAGACGGGATTCAAAAACATGAAGAATTTCCTATCCGATTGTAAGAAGCATGAGAAGGCAAAATCGCACATGGGTGCCTACAAGACCTGGAAGACCTACGGTTTTCAGCCTCGTATCGACTGTCTCATGTCACAAACTAGACGTGAAGAGATTCAGCGTCATAACGAGGAGGTAAGGCAAAACAGGGAAATGTTGAAAACCATAACAGAAGCTGTTTTATACTTGTCTAGGCAAGATGATGAATCTAGTAGCAGCATGAATAGAGGAAATTATAGAGAGCTACTTGAAAGTTTTGCCAAGATGGGTTCTGTTTGTGAAAGGCGATTACATGGAAGGCTTGCTGAAACCCACCTTGCTGGGGGAGGGCGGTTTACTGGAGTCTCTCCAGATATTCAGAATGATTTGATTGATTGTCTTGATAAGATAATAGAGGATGAGATTTTAAAGGAAATATATTGCTGCACTTTCTTAAGTATACAGGTTGATGAGGCAACTGATGTTTCTACCCAAGAACAATTGAGTGTAATTGTTCGAATGGACAAAGGGGAAAGTGTCATTGAAAGACAGCTTGGGTTTGTTGATGTTAGTTGTGATAGGACTGCAACTGCTATATCATCAGTGGTTAAGGGTAAGTTGAGTCAATATAATAATGTGAAAGAGAAATTTATTGGACAAACTTATGATGGTGCATCTGTTATGTCTGGTCATCTCAATGGTGTTCAAGCTCAAGTTCAGCAGGATTATCCTTATGCTCAATTTGTTCACTGTGCTGCACATAGACTAAATCTAGTATTATGTCAAGCTGCATCCTCCATCTCACCTGTTAAGATTTTCTTTGTTAATATTAGTGCTTTCTGCACCTTTACTAGGAATTCACCCCAAAAGAAAAGCTTTACTATCATCCCATAGGCTTGAGTTTCCTAGTCCTGGTGACACAAGATGGTATTATAGGGCTCATGTCATCAATGTCTTGCATTCTAACTATGAGAAACTGATAGACATATTTGAAAATCTTACTGATAATCCAATAGGTTGGGATGATGAAACGTTAAGTAAGGTTACTGGTTTACTTGGCTACCTTAATGGCTTCTTGTTTTGTTTCTTGGTACATGTTTGTCAGAGAATTCTTGAGCAGTCATCCATACTTTATTCTATCTTGCAAGACAAGGACACTGACTTTCATTATGGAATGAGTAGGTTTGAGAGATTCAAGGCCTTTGTTGCTTCTCTGAGAAATGATACAGAATATTGTCAGGTGTACGACCTGGCTGTTGAGAAAGTGGGACCACCAGTAACCAGGTATGACCAACGGCATAATTAGAAACAAATGTATTTTGAAATTCTTGACACAATTGTGACTATGCTGACCGAGCGATTTCAGGATATGGAGCGTTTTAGATTTTTGACCTTGTTTAAGATGTGGAAAGGTAAAGTGCCCTCAGAAAAAATAAATCTTCTAAAGGAGGTTTATGGTGATATGTTTGACATACCAATGCTAGTTAGCCAACTTTGTTTTATTTACAGAGATAAAGACTTTCACTGTGATTCATGCGATGAATTATTGAAATATATTTTTCAGTTCCATTATCAATCTAGTATTCCAGAAGTTAAAGATAAATGGGGTTTTGTCAATTACAAGTGCTTCAGTTCAGAGGTCATTTTCATGTTTGAAGAGGGTAAAAAATTATCTTAGAAATACTTTGAGCCAAGGACGTTTTAGTTCTCTTTGCAGGATTTCCATTCACAAAGACATACTGTCAGAGAAAGAAGACGCCAACACATTGCATGATGAGGTAGTAAAGAAGTTCATTGAAAAACCACGAAGACTTGCTTTTTTATACAAATAGGTATTCATATATGGCTGATAACAAGCTGATGATGTCTTACGTCCATGGCATGTGAGAATTTTTCCGGGAACTTTTTAATGCAGTCAATTATGATTGTCATTTCAGCACGACAATTTCATCACAACTTTTGATAGTTGTTGATGACAAATCTGAGCCTTTTTCGGTTCTTTTGTCAAAGTTTCTTTACAAGATGTACATAGGTATCTATTTATGTATGTTGTGTTGAGAAAATAAATCACATATCTGCAACTATTTTTGAACTGTTTTTCTGCTTTACTATAAGATCCTTCGGCAATTTAAATTAACCAAAATGGTTCTATTTCCTGCATAAATATCACGCATTTGCTTTCTAAGATTGCCGTTTCCGACGTTCTAGGGAGTCTAAATTCGGAAAATTTTCTCGCTCGGCGCCAACCATGGTGGCGCCTGGTGAGCCCGACCAAATGTTTTTCGCTAGCTACGCCACTGGCAGCAAGTGACCTTCCCAGAAACAGAACGTAAGCCAAAAATTGCCGAGCCAAAACAAAGCAAATCACGAGTATTAAAAAAGTTGACTCTCTTGCTGTTCTTTTCCAACAATTAAGCCAAGGGGAAGATCCTTTTATTCGTGACGTATCAGCTGCTCCTGAACTCAGATGTGTTCTGTGTTACGATTGGCAGCTTAATGAGATCGAGCAATTCTGCACTGATCCTCAAAACTTTGTAATATTTTCTGCAGATCCCGCATTCAATCTAGGAAACTTCAATTTAACCGTTACGACGTATCGCAATTTGAAAGTTATAACAAGAAGAGAAGGTCATCATCCTTTAATAATAGGACCTCTTCTAATTAGCCAAACCAAAACAACCGAATCGTATGATTACTTCTTTGGGAAATTGACTTCCCTAATAAAAACATAAAAAACGTTCTTGCCATTGGGACAGATGGGGAAGAGGCTTTGAGCAGCGCCATGAAGAACAGTATGTGCTATGCAATTCATTTACGATGCTTTGGGCACTTCCGCGAAAACTGTAAATTACAACTGAGAAAATCAAATGTGTCGGACCCAGCACAAAATACTTTTCTCGATGAAGTATTTGGAAAAAGATCAAGGGAAATTTATGAGAAGGGTATGCTTGCAAAAACCTATTAGTAAACTGCCATTTGTTATAACATTGCGCATTTTACGTTATCTTTTAGGCTTACTAGACTCCATCGATGAAAGTGAATTTCTATCCAATCTCGATGCGCTGAAAGAGATATGGGATGAAAGAGAACGTTCTTTTTTGGGTGCAAATCAAGAGCCATCTTTCTTCAAATTTATATATATGAAAAGGTAGCTGTATCCTAAAAAATATAATTTTGTACAACATATTCCATAAGTTTCCTTTTCAAGAAACCTTTCTGTCTATAGTGATTGAACAGTTTATTCTTGTTAAATTTACGTTTGAACTAAATGCGTCTAAACAAATTTTCTAATAGACGCAAATGATCGAGTGTACCGGTCCAAACCGTGGAAAGAGTTTTCAGAAAAGCTCAGAAACTGCTAATGCAGGATGGAGCTATAGTTTCAGCCCGAGGAGGAAGCAGTAAATCTTTTGTCGTTTTAAGCGAAACATCGCGAAGACCTCACTATGTATTCATTGAAAATAGTGAGAAAGTTACGTGCGAAAACTGCCCTAGATGGGCCTCTGCACACTTTTGCAAACATGCTGTGTCGATAGCAGAAAAAACAAACAGCCTAAAAGAATATGTTTCATGGCTAGAACGTACAAAAAGTCCCACTAACCTTACTACTCTTGTCACCTTCGACTCCTCTCATATCGCCACCCTCCCAACAGATTAACCCTTTCCATTATCTGAAGATATCTGCATTTCTCCTTGATATCCTAACCCAATTTATGGGTCGTATCTACTGTTATTACTGCAGTCACCTCAAGTCCACCTCAAATCAAAACATGCTATGGATGCAGGCAGCAACTTAAAACAGGTGGTTTCATAAGAAATCATCCTTATATTTTAGTAATTGTATCGAACACATTGAGAGGATATTATGATAACGAAGGAACGCTAAAGCAACGTCCAGGAAACGTCTATTACCATGTTAGCACAGGCTGCATAAGAAGTAAACAATCGGGGAAACACTTGTGCATGTGCCTTATCATATTAAATATAGATTGAAAAATGAGCATAAGATATTCTTTTGGGAATTCAACATAATTTTGTAGACAAGAGAATCTATTTTGGTGTTGTCATATAGTTTAGGTATTATAAAAAATTATTTATTATTCTGCTGATCTCGTTTGACTTAAATGCAGTGCGAACGAAAAGTTCACCTCAAAATTAAATTTCAAGTAAATTATGTCAAAAAAGACGAACGTATTAACATTAAATATACGATTTGAAACTCTTCACATAATTGGGTTCATTGCCTATTCATTTCTGCATAATTAAGTCTTTCAAAATTTAGCTGTAAATATCATCGTACAATCATTAAAAACAGAGCTGCACCAAACTGCTTCCACTGTTTGCCTATACCTATGTCTCTTAAAAACATCATTTAGTTTCGTTTTTATAGGGACACACTTATAATTATAAACTGTGGACACAGTCATATGTTGCTGTTAATATTTTAAATTAGCTGAAGGGACAAAGCAAAACCAAGATGATTATAAAGATTAAACGATGCACCCAGCTTTTGCACTCTTAAAGGGCCTGCAAATTCATACCTGGCTGGCTACATTACCTTGATGTTTCAAATGCAGTTTACTAAAGTGTCCTAATGCGTGTAGAACACATTTGTTAGATTTTAATGTCAATGAAAATCATTCTTCTTTAAATAATTAAGCGCAAAGTGCGACTATACGATTTGAGAAAAACAACTACTGAAATGGAAACTAAAGATAAAGTGCGAAAGAAACTAAATAAAATTGTCTTGTTTAAGCATCAGTAGTACTTTGTTCATGAAAAAATGAAGTTATAGCAAAAATAAAATGTCAACAATCTCTCAACATAAAGAAAAAATAATAAAAATAGTAACTCAGCTCATTTCTAAAGAATTGAAACGCATACTAGATCATAACTGCCTCAGAAATTGGAAAGCGAGCAGTGAACTATCTTGCATTGGCAACGATGGGACAAAATATATTCTCGCATGTACAACTTTTAAATCAATACTAAAGTCGATATTTTACAGCTATCGGAATCATTTTGATGTGAAATCAATTTGCATAACCTGTTTCATCCATGACTAATACTTGAAGTCAGTAAGGAGTCGCGAAAGGTCTTAAATATTCGAAAATCCATAATTGTAGACGTTATCCGCTATACATTTCTATAAAGTAAATGTCAAACAACAACAAAACAGTCCTTGTCAGGACTATACCAACCTGGACGATCTACATTTACAAACATACAACGGCCCCCCTTGCCTTTTCTGCAAGTGGGCAGGGGGGGCAAAAGTGCCCTACAGGTTGAAAATTTATTGTTTTTAATCCAAGATAAAGACTACTTAACCGTTGCGGTATATTGCATTCTTTTTAGCTTAGCAATAAAATTGTCGTAACTATGTTAGTTTTCCTTTAACATTTCTTTGTTTTAAGTACGTTTTGTAAGTTCTTTGTTTGTTTAGTTCTTCTTTTTTGTTGCAGCGCGTGAGAACTTGAAACGCAATGAAAGAGTGAGTACTGCTAATGACGTAAAGGAAAGCTCGACTTATATGTAATTACCGATAGTATAAATAACATGTAAATAATTAACTCTAATAGATAGCGTAAACATCTGCTGGCATAAATGGCTCAGTCACCTAAACACTGATGATTTTGAAAGGGATATTTATTGCATCTTATCGCTTTTTCTGCAATGCCAAAAGCAGAAAGATGTAAAAAAGATTCAGCAAAAGCATTAGCGAAAGCAGCGGCTAAACCTGGTCAATCTAAATTAACATCGCTGTTTGCAAAAGGAAACACAGGCCATGATTTTGATTCTGCTTCAACAAGCGGAATTGACACTGTAATAACTGTCAATACTGAAAAAGCCTCAGACTGTGAAACACAAAAATGGTCCAAACCGAAAAGTCTGATTGGTGAAACAGAAAAGATATGCATGAAAACGACATGGGTAAAACATGAGAAAGACTTTACAAGTGAAGACAAGGAAAGTAGTGTGAAGCATGGTCGATATTTCAAAGGTTAGTGGTTACGAAATTATGAGTGGCTAGTGTACAATCGAGAAAAAAATAAGGCTTTTTGCGAAATTTGTTCTACTCACTCTGAGATAAAGGCAATGTTTGGCAGTTATGAAGTTGGATTTGATAACTGGAAAAAAGGCTGTGAGAAATTCAACGAGCATGAAAACAGTTACGCTCTCAGATGTGGCATGGAAGGTCACAAATTGGCAGCTATGGGCTTTGATGGGGCTTCAGCAATGAAATCCCTCGCAAGAAAGCTCAAGGAAGATATTGCACCAAACGCAATTTATGTTCATTGTTTCAGTCACTGCAATGAACTTATTATACAGGATGCAGCTAAGCAATCTAATTTATTGTCTACATCACTGGATTTATGCCAATGCCTGTATGCAATCGTAGGTGCCCATCCAAACCGTATTTTATTGTTCGAAGAAATACAGGCAGATTTTAGAAACGAAAAAGGAACAAACGATTACAAAGTTCTTCGACTCCAAAGTCTTTCTACAACGAGATGGACAACTAGAGTAAAGGCTGCTGACGTCATCTTCGATAAATCGGCTGAACTACATGCAACCCTTGAAAAATTGCAGGAAGATCCTAGCATTTCGGCAGACACAAAAGCAAAGATTAGAGGAATATTAAGGCGACAACTGTCTTCCTTAATCGTCATCTTTAATTTAGACGCGACAAGAAAGCTATTGACTTTATTCGAGAAGCTTTCTAAAGAGCTCCAAGCGGTTGATATTTCAGCTGTGTACGCTCTATTTTCAATAAGACATGTCCTGCAACGTCTTCATGAGATGAGAAGCGAAGAAGAGTTTGAGCGTACACTTGATGACGCTAAGAAAGTTTTTCGTGTTATGATGTCGTTTCCACTGGAATTTAGTGAAAATTTTGGCACTGGCACTAGATTAAGAAAAGTTCTAAGATAGATGAATAATGAAGAAATGTTAATAACAGAAAGCCTTCACGTCACAGATGCCTCAGTTTACATCAGTGCAAATATAACACCAATGCAAAGCTCGTACTGCCAAGCCATTGATGCAA